GGACCATTGCCAATATAGAGTGATACAGCATAGAAACAGACCCTTCATCTAGTCATAGAGGAGACAAAGGATGGTAATGAGTAGCAGTAGACAGCCAAACTTTGATAGGATCTTCCATTAAAGTTCCCGCTTGAGTCAAAAGTCTTGCTCAGGTCGATGAAGGCCAGGTAGAGTGGTTGGTGGTGTTTCTGACATTTATCTTGGTATTGCCAAGCAGTGAAAATCATGTCCGTAGGTCCACAGTTTGGTTGGAAGCCACACTGGCTTTCAGGAAAGATTTCCTCTGAGACTGAGAGAAGGTGCTTAGCAACAATTTGGGCAATGGAGAGTAGGGAGGCTCCTCAGTAGTTCCCACAGTTCACTTTGTCTTCTTTCTTTGGTGAACTAGAGAGAAAAATAAACAAAACTTGTAAGTATATTGCACTTTACATGACCACCAAATATCCCAGAGCTCTTGATAGCCGATGCAGTACTTATGAGAGATGGGCCCAGTGCTTGCTTTTTCTTTGCAAACTTAAGTAGGACTGACAAATTTATTTTACAAATTCTGATGAAAATCTGTGTCTATAATTCTCCAAATAGGTTTTAATTATGGGTTTTGCCATCACAGCAGCTGTGCTGGAACTGCTGGCCCTTTAAGAGCACCAAGATAAATTTTCTGGACTTAATATGGAAACCTGGAAATAGGCATTGGAATCTGATGGAAACCTAAGATATCACAACTGTAGGCCTGTCCTCTAAATGGTTTCAGAGTCTCTATTTTCTGGAATCAATCTGAATATTTCATTACATAACTGCATGTAATGCATTAAGAAAATGCCATTGGCTTTCTGCTGAATCGTAAACACTGGATATGAACATAATAGTACCAGATATCTGCTCACAAATTCCAAATTACTAAAGAAATATGTTTTATCTTTAATCTTAATCACTTCTCAGTAGAATTCCCAGAAGAATGAGAGAGTGTTCGTGAATGTTGTTCACAGACCTAGCTGCTTGATTATGAACTGCAAATTCTCATGCAATACATCATTAAATAAGATTTACTTAAGAAAGAGCACTCATGGTTCAATGCAAATTACCACTCTTTCTGGTATTTTCCCTGTCCTCTATAACAATAATAACTTGCATTTGTTTCATGCCTTTCATGTAACAAAATGTCCCAAGGCAATTTGCAACTACTGTGAAATCAAAAATTGACACTGAACCAGTAACAAAATCAGATGTTTGGTTAGGTGTTAGGTCTTAAGCATTGTCTTTAAAATATCAAGAGCAGTAGATAGGCAGAAAGACTTAGGGAGGGAGGTCCACAGTTTAGGGTCTTGGTAGTTGAAGGCAGGACCACTGATAGTAGTGTGAGTTGATTAAAGTCAGAAATGTTCAAAAGCCTGTCTGCAATTGTTCAAAACAAGTCAGGTCACACCAGACAATAATCATGTTCTGTTTCCAAAATTATGTATTTTATTCTTAAAATTTGTGAAAAAAATTACAAAACACTTGGCTCCAATATTGCAGACTTTGCAAGAAAATTCAACTTGTCGCAATACAGTGAGTTTCACTTTATATAATTGTAATAGTCTTAATATATACAACATATATTTCACATAAGGTATACAGGCTGATGGTAAACCAGTTTGTATTTGAAAAGACAGAACATGTATATATACAGTTTTCCTCTTTACATCATGTTCCACTCTAAGGTTCCTCAATACATTTCTATACTCTTGATTGATAACATATATTCTTTGTAAGGCACACAACTAAGCAATTACTAACTCAGTAGTATCCACCACAGCACTGACACTGAGTGATTGCTTATATCATCAGTATCAATTCAGTGTTAATCTAGTTGCTTGGTGAGGTTATATGTTAGTGCTTCGATATCATATTCTGAAATTAACCTCATAGTGTTTGATCAGTAATGGTTTATTCCTGCAATAAATACTGTCCTAAATATAGCACTTCAGTGAAAAGTGGCTAATAAAATTATCTTACAAAGGCAAAGTACAGGAGTTGGGACACCATGTTGAGGTGTACAGGAAGTTGGTGAAGCCTCTTCTGAAGTACTGTGTCCAGTTCTGTTTTTGGAAAGATATTATTAAGCTGGAGATGGTTCAGAAAAGATTTACCAGGATGTTGCTGGAATAGAGTTTTTGAGTTTAAAAATAGGCTGGATGGGCTAGGAGTTTGAGGGTGATTAAAATATCATGAGGGGCATGGATAGGTGAATGGCAGGTGTCTTTTCCCTAGGCTGGGTGATTTCAAGACTAGGTGGCATATTTTTCAGGCGAGAGGAGAAAGATTTTAAAAAGATATGAGGGGGAACTTTTTTACAAAGAAAGTGGTTCATGTGTAGAGTGAACTTTCAGAGGGAGTGGTGGATGTGGTTATGTTTGCAATGTTTAGAAGACATTTAGATAAATACATGAATAAGAAATGTTTGGAGGGATATGGGCCAAGCACAGGCAGGTGGGATCATTTTAGTTTGGGATTATGTTCAGCATGGACGAGTTTGACAAAAGTGTCTGTTTTTGTGCTGTTTGACTCTGACTCTATGACCTGAAAGAGCACAACCTTGAAAAAATTGCAATATCACCAAGCTGTCCTCTACTTAAGGATAAATACACCCTAAAAAGTAAAGCTGCCATTCAGCCCTACCTGTGGGAAAGAATCTAAATATTACTTATGGGTCAGATAATTTAGTGAAAGACAATTAGTTCTAAAATAATGGCAATCCACTGAGTAAACACACGGCTGTAATAGATTTCAGTTTTAAAAATAATACATTTCTTAGCTCCACAAAAGTTACTTTGCAATTTACCAAATATCCAAAATAGTGAATTAACATGGTTCAATTTTTCTAAAGTACAGAGAATACAGAAATCTGAAATAGAAACAAAAAGAAGTGGAAATGCTCAGCAAGTCAGGCAGCACTTCTGGACAAAGAAGCAGTTAATGTTTCAGGTTGATAATCTTTCATCTGTACAAGAAAAAAGTGAGAGATGTAATAAGTTTGAAGCAAATTGAAGGGGTGATGGTGAGAAAAAGCACAAAAGGGAATGTCTGTGGTCAGATGGAGGGAAAGAAAGATAAACGATTCAAGTCAGAAGCCAAAGAAGTGATAATGGAACAAGTAAAGAAACAAAAGATGTGTCAAGAGGATTTGGGAATGGCAATGATGAACAGTCGCTACCCAAAAGCAAAACGAAGACAGGGTAGGCGAAACAAACGTAAAAACCTCAAATCAGCAAAGAAAAATGAACATAATTAGAGACGTTACAATTTGAAACGGTTGAATTCATTGTTGTGCCTGACAATCTGTAGAACATACAATCAAAGGATTTAGGGAATTTTTCTGGGAATATAAGAACAATTGTCGATAGATACACTGCTGATAGTACTTCATTCAAGGTACATTTTGTGCGGCAATTTGAACCGTATTTCTGTTTGTTACTGTGCACGCACGTGAAAATTCATCAGAGTTCTTCGAAATATATTGTGGTCATTTTAATGAAACAGTTCTGGACTTTGATATAAATTGTGTAAACAATATGTGCCATATAGTTCGAGTCTGCTGGAAGATAAGCAAATTGGTTAGCAATATTACATATCCCTTACTAGCTAAACTGCAAAACAATTTAGAAGGTACAGTAATATTCGGTCACTTTTACTGGCGTTGCAAACTGTGCTTTTACACAAAAAGAGCTCATGGTTTACTTTCATCTGCCTAAAGTACTCAAAAGGTATTAATCCAATGCAAAGTCAGCTTTCTGCACACTGTTTGACATTTTTCGATTTTGCCCTTCACAAAGATGGCGGGGCCCATTTAATACGGAATAATGGACGTGTTGGCAAACCAATCGACACGCGGAGTGGGCCACCATCCTCCATTCAGATAGCGGTCTGGGCGTGTGGGGCGGGGTTGAGTCTCGGAGACTGAGTTGCGCTGAAAGTTGCAAATGTTTGTTACAATCCTGTTTGTGGTGAGCGTGTGACTGTAACAGGTTGGGACGATCGCGAAGATTTTCACTGAAGATGAAGACTAAGCAGGTAGGAGTTTACTGGAGTTCGGCTTGCAGGTGCTATTTCCCCCCTCTCGCTACCAAATGTTATTAAAGGGATCCGGAGCCCGTGTCTGAGCGGGCTGAAGTGTTTGTCTTCACAAAGTTGAGATTCCCAAAAACTGCCTGCCTGCAAGCACTGAAATTTTTTAAGGTGCAGTTTTAAAAGATCAACGGTTAATTGCTGTCTGTTGTATTGCAAGAGCCTCTTATAACCCGACCGGCACAAGGTCCAAATATGTCGTCGGCAAGTCACAAAAGAGGAGTCAGGAAGTCAGTTCAATGCAGGCTGTGTCCTTCCCCACCAGTTGGCCCTGCCTATATAGGGTAGGTTGACATGGGCGCTGCTGGAATAGCAATCCTGAGTTAGGATGGCACAGACTTAGCTGGGAGAGTAGCTTTGTTGAGAATACTGCTGGAACACTTCATGGAGGCAATACTATTATTATTATCTGAATCTCGCTGTTGTCACAATCAAAAAGTGCCAGGAATTCGTGAAGTTTTCGATCGATGTTGTACCGGCATCGAGATTTTGTTTTGGAAGGTGCATACACTTTTTTTTTGAGGCGAGTGACAGCTAATGTGCCCCAATTAAAGCAATAAAGGACCGTTTCCTGTGTCTGTGGAAGATAGTTTGTCTGGATTTCAAATTGTGAAGTAGGACAACAATGTACAGCGCTGCTAGATGTTCTTTTTTTTTGAAAAATAAAGCAACAGAGAAAAAGTAGTAAACAGCCAGATTTATGTTGCAGGTCCTCAGAGCGTTGAGGCCCAGTCACTTTGTTTCCATTTATATTTGGCACCAAGAAAGTGGTTTATAAACATTCAGCAGGCCTGTGTCAGAAGGTTGGCCCATATGGTTGGCTCAGGGATAGCTGTGTGAATGTCGATTATGTCATTATAAAGGTGCTTTGTGTAAACAGTCGGATCTTTGGCGGGATACTGTCAGGCTTTCATCAGTGAGTGGGCGAGTTAGATTTAAATATATGAAGTCATTTATTGTGCTGTCGGCGGTTGTCTAGGCATTTTGTTGACTTAAACAGTTTGGTTCGTTTTACCCACCCTTTCTCCACAGTTTTCGCCCACTCTTTCTGAAGGATGTTAATTCATGCCAGCATAAAGTTCCTTCAGCACGAGCAGTTTTGACTATTTTGACAAATAGGCATTCTGTCAAGTGCGTGTTTCGGCAGTTAACGGGCAGAAATTCCAACCACATCGGCGTGGGGGGGGCTAGTGCTTCGGAATGGTTCCAAGTGACCCGACAACAGAGAAAGGAAAAAAAAACAAATAAAGACCAAAAGAACTGCTGATGCTGTAAATCGGGAACAAAAACAAAGTTGCTGGAAAAGCTCAGCAGGTCTGGCAGCATCTCTGGAGGAGAAAACAGAGTTAACGTATCGGGTCCGGTGACCCTTCCTCAGAGAAAGGAAATTTGTGTTGTTTGTACTGCAACAACTTTGCATTTGCAGTCAGCTGACCAAACTCCAGCCAACTATCATCGCTGCTGAAGTTGCAAGTTCAATTTAAGATTTGTTATCAAGCTATTCGTTCAGGAAAAACCATCTAAACCACACTTCTTCTGATAGCGACAGGAGTCTGTGCATGGGGTCATTGGATAGTGATTGACGGTGAGACACCACCTGACTCTAACTTCCTCCTCTGTAGGCCAGTTCAAGTTGGGTAAGGCGTTCTAACTTGTTGCCTTGGTTGAACCTGGTCTTTGTGGGAGGAATTTAATGCTCTGCCCTGCGGTAAACTTGATGCCAGGGTGCCAAATTAATTGGTGGGATTCTGCCAGCTACCCTCTTCTGCCCTGATTAATCCAGTGGACAATCTTCTCACCTTCACTGTTAACTGAGACCAAAGTGAGCAACTAATGCCATTTATCCTACTTCCACTGTTTAGTAGAGGGAAAGGATGCTCACCATGCATGGAACATATTACAGAAATCATGGGTGGGTCCCTCATTCAAAGGCACAGTGCTTGAGTCTTACTATTTTGCTCTTGCTGCTAATTCCCAACCTGCTCCTTGATCCTGGGTAAGGCCATTGCTGTCCAGTAAGTATGTCTCAGTGGCAGTTAATTCAGTGGGCCTTCTCTAAAAGAAGCAATGGTGGACATGTGTGCAACCACTATCAACGTCTTAAAAGCTGCCCTGTGATTTAGGATCACAGCAGGTAGCTCATTGGCAATTCAAGCCAGGGAACATCTTTCAAGAATGATTGACAAAAAGTATTTCTTCTAACTGCCCTAACTAGATTATGATTAATGCCCAGAAGCAGTTCAATATTTCTGCTGTCTGTACTGTTGAATATCCCTAGTTTAAGAGCTTTTTGACCTTTAGGATCTATATAGATGCTAGTGTGCAACAACATCTCTTGTTGCTGCGGTTGATGCCAATTCAGTAGCACCGTATGGACAGTGGTAACTGGCATCAACATAAAGTGGAAAGCACAATTTAAAAACTAAAATTTTACTGGATTCGAATATATTATTATATTCAATATGTGCTAGATTGTGGGAGAGAGTCTCCTGAGAATAATTTAACTTCTTGTGTAACTGTAGAAGTTTTCTCGTGATATGAACATCCCTGTTCAATTACACCCTGCTGGGAATTTACTGATCCAAACCAAAGTGGTAATGAGGACACAGACAACCTTGGATATGATTGTTCTTCAGAACTTCAGTTAATTCCATAAGCTTTCAACACTATTATTTGTATCTATCAGTAAGTATAGATGTTCTGCTGTGCTAGTGACTAGGCCAGATATCTTTTTTTAAAATTCTTTCATAGGACGTGGGTGTTGCTGGCAAGGCCAACATTTGTTGTCCATCCTTGACCCTCGAATTGAGTGGTTTGCAAGGTTAATGAAGAGGATAGAATAGAATCCCTATAGTGTGGAAACAGGCCCTTCGGCCCAACCAGTCCACATCAATCCTTGGAGCATCTGACCCACACCCATCCCCCTATAAACCTACCTAATCTACACATCCCTGAACACTATGGGCAATTTTAGCATGGCCAATCCACCTAGCCTGCACATTTTTGCACTGTGGGAGGAAACCCACGCAACACGGGGAGAACGTGCAAACTTCACACAGACAGTCGCCCGAGGGTGGAATTGAACCTGGGTCCCTGGCACTGTGAAGCAGCAGTGCTAACCACTGTCCCACCGTGTAGTTAAAGTCAACTCTGTAGCTGTAGGCCTGGAGTCACATGTAGGTCACATGCCAAGTTAGGATGACAGTTTTCCTTTCCAAAAAGGGACAGTTGACCCAGAGGGATTTTTACAACAATTAATGATATTTGTCATGGTCATCATTACTAGGACTAGCTTTCAGTTTCAGATTTACTAATTTAATTTAAATTCCATCAGTTGCCCTGGTGGGATTTGAGCCTATATCCCGAGAGCCTGGGCCTCTAGATTATTAGTCCAATGGCAATACTGCTATGCCAACATCTTCCCATATCTACAAATTTCACTGCCTTCACCAGTTGACCAAATACTTTGACATCTTTTTGTATTTCATTTCATGCTTCTTCCATGTTGACTTCTGCGTTGATAATAGTCGGCAGCCTTGTCTCACCCATGTCTGATTACACGGGATCAGTTTCCTGAAATTTTGTTCTGATGGTACCAGTGTTTCCCATTTACAGACCATTCTTTAACCTCTTAAATCAACTCTGATAGCCTCCAGCACCTTGCAATAGCTCTTGCCAGTTTATCTGGTTGAAAACACAAAGCTAGTATACACTTCTTGCAAGTACAATGTTCTTCTAATACAAGAACTAGTCAGGTACAATGTGCTTCTTTATCTTAGCACTTACATCACTGCTAAAAATAGAATACCAGCAATAAATATACATTACCTTCTGTAACTTTATAAATCTATTGCCACATAGAAATTTTTAATCTTAATCTTTACTTTGACTTTGTTAGAGTATAGAACAAAATGCAAAATTTTGCAGGTTAGTTTGCATTCTTGTCAGAAGCACACAATTTGTAAAAAGCTTGAGGGGCAATGAACACGTTAAAAGTTACTATGAAAGGTTTTGATATGTTATAAAATAGTGAACATCGAATGCTATAGATTGATATGGTCATGGTCATATAGAATGATAGCTTATACTTGAAGGGACACAGGATATACTCCGAGATAGCAAGAACTGCAGATGCTGGAGTCAGAGACAACACAGTGTGGAGCTGGAGGAACACAGCAGGCCAGGCAGCATCAGAGGAGCAGGAAAGTTGACGTTTCAGGTCGGAACTTGACCCGAAATGTCAACTTTCCTGCTACTCTGATGCTGCCTGGCCTGCTGTGTTCCTCCAGCTCCACACTGTGTTGTCTAGGATATACTCCTATGTCTTAAGTTTTAATTAAACTTGATCACAAATTGGAATAAAACAAATTGTAATTATTTTACCAAATGATAGGAATAAATGGGAGTTTGAAAAATATTTATACTTGTTAACTCTTTTAAAAAGTATGTTCATTGGATGTGGGCATCACTGGCTACATCAGCATTTATTGCTCACCCTGAATTGCCCAGAGGGTGGTTAAGAGTCAACCACATTACTATAGATTGGGAATTACATGTAGGAAAAATCAGGTAAGAATGGCAGATTTCCTTCCTGAAAGGGCATTAGTGAACCAGATGAGTTTTTATAACATGGTCAACATCGCTGAGATTAACTTTTGATCTAAATTACACCAGCTGCCATGGTGGCATTTGAAACTATTTCTCAACAGCATTAGCCAAAAATTAGATATGTAAAGTTTTAATAATTCGACCAATTTGCACCAGCCAAAAATGTTATGTTATAAAGGTAAGTTTAATCATTGCATGTTGCAAAAGTTAAAATCCACAAATGATCCATGATTATCAAATTGGGGGAAAAAAAACCTGGTTATGCTTTTCAAATCTTATTTTATCACAGATTGACTTTCTGAAGGTATATTATAAATATTGTATCCACATATGCTTACATATTGTTTCAGCTATGATACATTTGCAAAATATTTTGTTTAAGGTTGGAGTCCGTCGATCAGCACGTATTAGGAACAGGGAGCTCTGTTCTACAGCTTCAAATGTCCCCAATCAGGATGTTAAAGATGACAGCTCAGTGCAGAAAACAGCCATGGTAAGAGAAGTGACAGTGTTGATCCATTTAACCGTTCTTCTGCATAGATCTATACCCACAAGCTAATTGTTTTGGATTTGGAACATCTTATTATAATAACAGTATTGTATCTAACAACAATATCTCAATTATTTATATAGTATATTTAACGTAATACAAATATTCCAAGCTATTTTTCTGGAGTATGATTAGATAATATTTGACACTAAACCACACAAAGAAATATTAGGACATTATAACCAAAGGTTTGTTGAAAGGTTTTATAAAGGGCAGCTTAAAGGGGGAGAGACAGACAAAGGCTTACAGGCAATGTTTTTGAGTTGATGCTTTAGGCAGCTGAAGGCACAACCAGCAATGGTGGAGTGAATGAGATTAATTCAGGCTTCTTGAGCTTCTGTGAAGGAATATAGATATCTCACTGAGTTGTAGGGCTGTAGGAGGTTATAGATGTAGGGCAAAGCAGCAAAGGAATTAGAACCATAAACAATCAAATCTGCGTCCTTACGGGACCAAAGATGAGGGCTATCTTTTGGGGAACTAATAATCTCATCCAATGAGAGAGAAATATTTATTTGGAAATTCCTGAAAAGAAACACTGAGGAACTGAAATACACCAACTGACTCATTCATTCTTCTTATTTCCCTCCTCAGTCCATACAGTTGCTGTTACAGAGAGGGAAGATATCCAACCTCTCTCAATTTTTTTCATGTTCCTATGATTAGTTTTTGAAATTAGGCATTGTTTCACAATAACCAAGGGACAGCTGTCCTGTTTCCTTTTGTCCACTTTCCAAAATTTGTGGGGCTGGAAGGAAAATTAAATTTGCACCTGTTGGTTGCAATGCCATTATGTATTAATGTTTCAACAAATTGTTGCAGTATGCCACAGATTTTACGAATGAAATGACATGCTTCAGGGAAAATAAATACTGTTATGGCTGGAAAACACTCTCCAGTAATCTTGGATGAGTGGCTTCCAACCACTCCCTGCAGGATTCTATTACCATAACACATAGCTCTTTACATTTGGAAAGAGTCCTGCCTGGTCTGTTTCCTCTACACACTGTTGATATGCAATCAAATTAGTCAATTTTAAATATTAAAATGCCATTTCAATATGTTAGATATTTGTACCTCTGAGTCAGAAGGTTGTGGGTTCAAGTCCCACTCTAGGACTTGAGTACAAAAATAATGGTTTACAGTCCAGTGCAGTGCTGGGGGAGTGCAGTGTTGTTGGAGATGCCATCACAGGTTGAGACATGGAACTCTGAAATGGATGTAAAAAGTCCCAGAGCACTAATTTCCAAGAAGAACAGCAATTATCACTAGTGTCCTTGCTGATATTTATAGCTCATTCAAAAGCCCAAAAGGAGACAAATTTTCATTAACATGCCACTGTTTGTAGGAGCTTACTGTGCACAGATTAGCTTTCATATTTCCTTTACTACTAACGTGACTACGCTTCAGAAGTACTCATTGTCTGGTAAAATGTTATGGGACCCCTGGTGACCTTAAAAGGTGCGACATAAATGCAAGTCTGTCTTTCTTTCTTGGTAACAGGTTAGTTCACTATCAGAAAAAGTTCTGCTTACGTTTGGTCTGGGTTGTTGTTTATTTTGTTGCATAATACAAGAGCTGGCCACCAAATTTTACATATTTTTGTAATGGATGTGCATATTTCAGTTTAACTTAGTCATGTTCCTGTTATCTGGCTTCTTACAATTCCTACTGTTGGAATACAGCACTGTGTATTTCTATTGAAGTTTGTGTTACAGATTGAGATAGGGACTATCATATCTGCTCAAAATTTCAAAGGGTGTGTCTTATTTTTCCTCAATGCTTCTTTCCTGTTCTCCTGAGGGTGGTGACTTATAGTGAGCTATGACCAATGGGTTAAAGCACCTCACCTAAAATCAACCAGCAATATTATCAGAAAACTAATCATAGTGAATTCATCATGGTGCATCTGATCCTGATTTCATAAATAACTCAAAAGACTTCAAAATAAATTAAATGCCACCAACTGCTTAACATAAAGGGAATTTAAAAGTAGTAAATTTAAGTCAAAATTAAAGAAAGTATTAGCTGACCATTTGTAAAAGAGAGGAGCTCAAATGTATGAAGATTAACCTGTCTATATCTCTCTGCAGACTCTTTGTGTCATCCTCACCACTTTCCTTCCCAACTATTTTTGTGTCATCTGCAAACTTGACTGTAGTACATTCTCTTTCCCCATCCAAGTCATGAATATATATTGTAAGTAATATTGTGGTCTGCACTGACCCCTGTAACACTCCACAAGTTGCAAGTTGCAAGTTGCCATCCTGAAAATGCCTCCCCCATCCCAATTTTCTGTCTTCTACTAGTTAGTTGATCCTCTATCTGTGCATATATACTACCTCCAGCACCATGGGCTTTTAACTTGTTAAGTAGCTTAATGTGTGGTACCATATCAAACATTTTCTGAAAATCCAAATATGTTACATTCTCTGCTTTCCCTTTATCTGTCCTGCTTGTTACATCCCTGAAAGAATTCCTGTAAATTGGTTAGGCATGATTTCCCCTTCATGAAGCCATGTTGACTTTGTTTGATAAATATACGTATTTTTAAATGATACGGAGGTGCCAGTGTTGGCCTGGGTTGGACATGTCAGGTCGCGTCCATGTACTCCCTCACACTCGCACACACTCTCTCTCTCTCACACGCACTCTCGCGTGCACTCTCTCGCATGCACACTCTCTTGCACGCAAACTCTCTGTGTCTCCCACACACATACACAAGCACACACACTGTGTCTCCCACCAATGGACACAAATACACACACACTCCCTCTCTCCCTTACACACACACAAACACACACACATGCGCACGCACACACATAATCTATGGAGTAAATTTGCATTTGCAGATTTGTATTTGCAGTTATATTCTATTTTGTTCAAAAAGCACAAAATTTGTAAACACAGTTGCAAACACCATTGGCTAATGGGGCATTTTATAAATTCCTGCTTTGGAAATAAAACCAATCTAACTCCAGGTTAAAACACAGACAGATTCTAAACAAGGCCTGACACCTAAAATGCATTGTCTGACCTGAGATGTCGCTGCTTACATACTCTGATAAAACTTTTAGTTATCTCAGGGCAGTGACTTGAAAGACATTTTGGGATTTGCATTTTAATCAATCAAAACCTGCATCTCCTTTCTAACTGATTTTAGATTTAACAGGAGGGAGTCAGCCAGCCATTTTAGTTTTATCCAATAATTTGCATCAATTGTATGATCCTTTGATCTTTTACTTATAAATCTGTGTCTTGATACCTCCTGTCTTACTATACCTGAGGAAGGAGTAATGCTCAGAAAGCTAGTGTTTTCAAATAAATCTGTTGGACTATAACCTGGTGTTGTGTGATTTTTGACCACATTTCTAAATGCTGTAATATTCTCTACAACAAACTTGAACATCTTCTCGATAACAGATGTAAAGTTAACAGGCCTATAGTTGATTTTTTTTTGTCCCTTCCTTTAATAAACAAAGATGTTATATTGGCAGTTTTATAATCCTTTGGGATTTCTCCAGAATATAAGGATTTCTGGAAGACTATTACCAATGCGCCTACTATCTCTGTAGCTACTTCCTTTAATATCCTCAGATACATCCCATCAGGTCTGGGAATTTATTGGTCTTTTGCCTCTTAGTTTCTCTAGCACTTTTTCAGGTCAATCAGTGAAGAAAAGGTGAGGCATCTATTTAAGAATTTTTACTGCTATTCTCAGCACTAGGAAAAAAAGCAAAGTTGTCCCATTGAGCTAATTGACAGAAGTCTATTTGATTTCCTCTACAGCCGACTACTTGACTTTATAATCAGAATTGTTTAGCATCTATTTGGCATATCTTCTGATGTAAAACCATGAGGGAATGTCAGTTTTTGGTGTGTTTGCTGCATTCGTCTCTTGAAGTTGCTGATTCTTCTAGGTTAAGTACCCTCAATCATTACCTGTAACCATTTTTTTGGTTGTAAGCCTAAACAGCAAGTCTCAAAATCCCATCAGACCAAAGGCCGCATTACCATTAAACATCATTCTGTTTTTTCTAAACCAACATTCATGGCACTATGTAGCATGGGTTAAGTTCAGGGGACAAGAATCTCAATTTTGTTTTCCATTCCCAGAACCGCCAAGACTAAGAATAGCATCTTCGTATGGCTATGAAATGAGTTAACTCAGCACATTATAGTTGCGGAGCCATGAGCTATGCTGGTCTCATGCTTGGTTTGCATACCCCAATATCAATAGAAGTAAAATCTACTGTGAGATAATTAATCTGCCGCATGAGTTGAATGCCTTTATCAAGACAGGTAGGAAATTAATCAAGTGTGGAGCTGGAGGAACACAACAAGCCAGGCAGCATCAGAGGAACAGGAAAGCTGACGTTTCGGGTTGGGACCCTTCTTCTGTTCCTCTGATGCTGCCTGGCCTGCTGTGTTCCTCCAGTACCACACTTTGTTATCTCTGATTCCAGCATCTGCAGTTCTTGCTATCTTTAGGAAATTAATCAGTTTTGCGTAATGGTAAACTGTATGGTTTTAGCTAGTTCCACTCCACTGTTGAGAAAATTTGGGATCCATTAGCTGATGCCAATCTTCCTGTAAATCTCCAAACTGAAGTAAATGAGAGGTGTAACTGTGGGAACAAAATGTTCATTCACTCTGTTCTTGGCAAGAGAATATACATATATCTCAGTTTCTAGATTTGGCAACACTTAAACATTGTGATGGTTGTCATAGAGTTGTACAGCATGGAAACAGACCGTTTGGTCCAATACATCCATGCCAACCAGATTTCCTAAATTAATCTAGTCAAATTTGCCATAGGCCCATATCCCTGTAAACTCTTCCTATTCGTATACCCATCCAAATGCCTTTTAAATGATGGAATTGTACCAGTCTCCACCACTTCCTCTGGCAGCTTGTTCCATAGATGCTCCACCCTCTGCGTG